TTTCCAGGCCTTCTAAAATCGCGAAACTTTGTGCGGGCATTTGCAACATAATGTACAACATCGTGACGAAGATTCAAACTGATCCGCGCAGCGACGGCGCGTGGGCGCGTACGAAAGTACGTTATATAAGGTCACGGTCCGCTAATTAAATTTCCCGTGCCAAAAGTACGAAATTTATACTAAATACGCATACAAATTTCAAAAACGTACTTTCGTACGCGCCCACGCGCCGTCGCTGCGCGGATTGATTTGAAACTTTGTCACGATGTTGTCCAGCATGTCGATAATGCCCTCTCAAAGTTTCGCGATTTTAGGAGGCCTGGAAGGCGGTTTTCGGACCCCTCGGCGACTTTTTTATCTAAATTTCGTACTATTGGCACGGGAAATTTAATTACAGGTAGCGGACCGTGACCTTAAGGTACACGTGTAGGGCTACAGCAAAAAAACGTACGAAGGTACTCGTCACTAAAAACACGAACAAAAGTGTACGCGCGAACACCCGCGCGCGAAACACTTCAAGGATGATGGCACGTGGGTGTGCCCAGTTTGTCTGTACCACGACATGTTCTTGAAAGAAGAGATGAAAGAGGCGTGGGCGATAGTGGAAAATGCTTCAATATCATGATATTACAGCCCGTCCAGGCGTTGTGGCACGATGAAGCGATCTTAAAGAGCTGATCCTCGACGCGAAACACTACTCCCTCCTCGAATGAGATCGCGACGATTTTTTTTTGCACCATCTTGTTCCAGGCATCAAGGTTGAACTTCCTATGGTGGGGGATTTCGCGTTCATGCTCTCTGCCGCGAGAAGGGTACGCGGTCGTCACGAATCGCGATTCTTGGCAAGATCTGCGCTTTCTTCGCGACGCGCGCGAAATTCGAAAAACCGCCACCATAGGGTTGTGCGCATGCCTTAGTAGTGGCATCGTGCAAAGCTTCGCGCGCAGACGTGCATCGCGCGCGGAGGAGTAGTGTTTCGCGCGCGGGTGCTCGCGCATACCCTTGTGTACGTGTTTTTCGTCACGAGTACGTTTTTTTGCTGGTTTTTTTCGAATTATCTTATGTATTTATAGAGGAATCTACTGTACGACTGATTGCCGATACGAGCAAGCGAATTGCCCATGTGTACACGTGCGTGTACTACAGTACTGTAGCCCCTAAGTTGCAACTTACCTTCGAAGGTACTTTCGTACTTTCGTACCTAAGCAACTTGAAAGTACAACGTACTTTCGTACTTTCGTACTTTCGAAAGTAACAACTTACTTTCAAAGTACATGTACACGTACTGTACAGTACGTGTACAACTAAAGATTAAAATTTATTGAAAAATTATGAATGCCCTTGTACTGTACGTGTACTGTACGTGTACACGTACACGTGTGTAGATCTGATTACAAAAAGACTGAGCTCTAACCCATCCGGGTAAAACATGTGATCTAGAAGCGAGCAGACCGCACTACGAACAATCCTCTCACGTACACGTACGGAAATAAATATGTCATACGCACGTGGATAAAAAGTTGTAAAAGTTGTACGAAAGTACTTTCGAAAGTACGTTGTACGTGTACATGTACAGTACAGGTACAGTACGTTGTACTGTACAACGAACGTTGTATCCTATGACCAGGCTAGCTACGAAGGTAGCTATCATACGAAGGTACTTTCGTACGAAGGTACTGTACGTGTAGCTATTAGCCATCCGGGCAAAACAGTACACGTACGTGTACTGTACACTCCCAGCTCAGCCCGTACACGTAGCAAATTTTGGCTTTTTTTTTTGAGTTCCTGTTTTCCTCCACGCTTCTGATTGGTCAATGCTATCAATTGTCCAATCATATGCTCGGAATTCTGCTCCAATTGTCCAATCATATGCTCGGAATTCTGCTCCATCGACAGGGAGTCAACAGCGGGGGGAGACGGAATGGGCCTTTTTCAAAGGGTCGATAGGTTTCGCGGCGCGCTGCTCTTTCGATTCAGCCCTTCTTTTTTGTTTTTTCATCGGTCGGGCCACCTTCGCGAACGCTTTTTTTTTTCACGCGATGAAGGCGATGGGTCGTCCTACTCGCCCCAAGCTGCGCGCGCGTCCGAGCGCGTTCTGTCCAACCTGAAGCGCGAGGTCGCTTCTCAACTACGATGGGCAGGGCGCCAAGGAAGCGAATCGCGGTTTCCCTCAGTCTGGAGCGCGCGCGCGTCGACGCGCGCGGTGCGGACCGCGAATCAGGCCGATCGCGGCCAAACGCGGATGCTCTAACTCGCCCCAAGCTCCGCGCGCGCGTGATCGCGTTCTGCCGCTGAAAATCCGCTCGGGGGCTTCGTACGGGTGTTGCCGAGGGCGCGAGCGCGTCGAGGATGCGTCTGTTTCGATGTAGGCGCCTCGCCGCGCGCGCATCTGCGCGATGGGGTCGCGAGCAGCGGTCAACGCAAAAACTTCAGCCAATCAGCGTCGAGAACGGTGGGGGGAGGCGAACAGCTTTTTGGGTATTTTTTAGCGAAAATTACCGCAGGTGGGGTCCGGAGTGTGTACTGTACAGTGTGTATCTGATTACAAAAAGACTGAGCTCTAACCCATCCGGGCAAAACATGTGATCTAAATGAGCAGACCACACTACGAACAATCCTCTCACGTCGTAAGCAACCCCACGACGGGATTCATGGAACCCATGTGAGCCTCACGAGCGCACGGAGCCGGGGCGATGTGGACAGTACGTGTACACGTAGGGCTACACTATCACCATTTGCAGATGTCCCCCCTCTGTGGCTTTGGCCGGTTTTTTCTGTGGCTTTTCGCTGTGGCCGATCGATCGCGATTGCGCGCGCGCGCAAACCTCGAGAAGGTTTCGGTCAAAACGAGTTCGCGTTCGCGCTTCCTATCGACGGAACCGGCATGTACGCGAAAAACTGGCTCGAAAGACGTTGTTTACGCGACATGCTGCGCCGCGCAAGCATCGCGCATCGCCGTTTTTCTGTGGCCGGTTTTTCCGGCCACAGCCACAGAGGGGGGACACTAATTTGCAAAAGGTGATAGCTAGGGATACGTTCTTTATGTACGTGTAGGGCTACTGTAATTATTTAGACAAAATGAAATCAATCCTTTGAACTATCTATTTTTATGAAGGTGCTTCGCTGAATAACCCAAGTAATGAAGTACAGCAGAATACAGACAAGAAAGAATCTGCCTGGGTAGCAAAAGACGGCTGGGAAACATGCAGTTGATGACAAGTACGTCAAATGAGAATGAAGTTCCTCCCCAAAGGACTTTCTGCTGAACACATTCATGATGCGAGCTTGCGCTAAATAGCCCATTCGGTCTGCCTTGTTATGCCCATCACCCAAGTGATTCATTGCGCGTGCAAATTCCTGTTCGAGAGGATCAATCGAAAGGGGGTAGGCTCTGGAGAAGAAGAAAAAAATCCTTGAATGGAACATTGAATACCTCTGGTTCAGAAGGACATGTAAAACCTGTCACACCGTCTCGGCAGCTTTCAACTGGGCCACCGCTATTGCAAGCTACGACAGGTTTCCCGACTGACATAGCTTCGATGGGCACAATACCGAAATGTTCATCCTTTGGTGTATAAATGACACAAAAACAATGCAGCAAAAGGCTGTTTTTTTCTTCCGTGCTAATGGAAGGCAAGAACACAACTTCTTCAGATATTCCGAGCGAGCAAGCTTTCCGGCAGCAACAGTCAAGCAGCAGATACACTGAAGGTATCACAATAACAAACACAAAGAGAGATAAAATTTGGTTTCAACTCTTGCCGATGTAGCTGGAAGAAACATTCCTCGTTTTCAGAAAGTCGACTATCATAACCCCCGGCAAAGAGAATTCGATTGACTTGAACTGAAGGATCTGCGAGTTTCGTTCGAAATTCTGCATATGCGTTCAGTGCCAGTTCAAGATTCTTCTTATACTCAAAACGGTTAATGGATAAAAAATAATCGCTTAAATTCAGAAGAAAAGTTGATCAGATTCATTTATCCGTTACTGAACAAAGCAGATACGCACTAGCTTTTGATATTCTTTCCCCTGTGTTGGAATTCACATGACAGTAGAGATTTTGGCAGGAGCTTGACCTGAAACTTGAAAACTGGAAACTTGAAATACAAATATATGATTATACTAAGTTTACATTTTTCGGTGAGACTGCAGGATATAAAACAGTGGGCTGACGACCGCGTGCGAAACCACTTTCAAATGTCTTTGCAAATATATCCGCTGTGTAATAGCTGTTCACAAATATGTGGTGTGCCTAGAAGTTTGTGTACGTTGGTGAGTACTCGTTAAACAAGAAGACACGCAATAACGCACCATTCCAGTTGTGATTCGCTCCAAGCCATCAAAGATGCTTCGGTACACCCCCTGAGCGAAAGATTTATGCTTCGCCAGTAGCATGTCCGGATAGTGGCAATAAAAAACAATCTTTGTTGAAGAAAACATGCGGAGAAGCAGTGCCGGAGACGAAATCTTAACAAGTGACAAATCATCAGCAATCAGGACTGCCAGTGCATACGCATCACTCACCTGATCGAGAAGGACTATGTCCACGCCACGTTCACTAATCAACATAGCGGCCTACTCGATGTCACCCAGTCAGGTCCAATAAGACACATTCTATTGATTTCAGGAAAAACAGAACGCACTGTAGCCCACATACAACGCAAGTTGGCAAAAAGAACATGAAAATGCCCATTTAGATGACGAGGTATCCAACTCCCTCGAACACGAATCCACTTCTCTCGTTTCCCTTCGGAACGAAGAACCGCGTTGACGAAAAAAACGCGAACTCGATCTGCAAGAACGCATCCACACTCACCTTTGAACAAAGTTTCTTCGAAGCAGGCGTGTGTACTGTGATATCCAGTGTACAATACGACCTGTTCGTTGACAATGTGAGGAAAAAGTATTTTTTTATCTCTTACAAGAAGTGCCTCTCTTTGGTTGCTTCACTTACGTCATAATTTAACGCAATTAACTCTAACACGGCGTCAATAATGAGACGCTCAGCTCCACCGATACCGAGATCGGGATGTATGATAGCTACTTTCTTTCGGGTCATACCCGAGTATTCGAAAAAGAGAAGCTAAATTCTACCGAACTCGTGCTCCTATGACCTGCAGGAGTTGTCCCGAGAGTTTTTTTCGAGCTTGAAAGAGGCAATGTTGGTACTTTCGTACGAGTTGTGTTGTATGATACTTTCGTTCGAAAGTACGAAAGTACTTTCGTACCTTCGTAGAATTTACTTCCGAAAGTACTGTACAGTATGTGAGTACTTTCGTACGAAAGTACTTTCGAAAGTACGAAAGTACTTTGTACCTTCGTACAGTTGTGTAGTGTACACTGTACACGTACGTGTAGTGGTATGTTGAGTGCTGCCTTCGAAGGTACGAAAGTACTTTCGAAAGTACTTTCGTACATGTAAGTTATTCTATTTTCGTACCTTCGTACGAAAGTACACTACACTACTTTCGAAAGTACGAAAGTACCTTCGTACGAAAGTACACTACACTACTTTCGAAAGTACGAAAGTACTTTCGTACGAAGGTACTGTACAGTGTACACTGTACAGCTGTACACATACTGTACGTGTACTGTACGTATTAGCTCGCCGAGCACGGTGCGAGCCGAACTGTCCCTGCCGGTGAATCCGCCTCCGCTGCCGCGGCCGAGGCCACGCTCTCCGCCATCGCGAGGAGCAAAAGCTACTGGAAACGACGCATCATGGGCCACATCTCCGTCGCGCTCGTCTCCGACCTCGGGAACCGCATTGCAGGCGCGCCCATCTCGTACGCGCTGAGAACCGCACGTGACTCTGAAAACTTCCACGCGGGCGCGGCAGCGCAAATCCTCTTCATGGAGTCCGACACGGCATGCGACTTCCACGCCGCCCCGGCTCCGTGTGCTCGCGACGCTCACACCGGCCTCAGAGATCACATCGTGGAGTTGCTTACTGCGTGAGAGGATTATCCGCAGAGAAGTTTGCTCGCACTACGTTGTACACGTACACGTACGTGTACACGTACGTGTACAGTACGTGTACCGCGTTGTAGTAATTGTTGTTTTGCCCGGATGGATAGATATGTACGTGTACATGTACATACAACTAGTGTATTTTTACTACGTGTACAATTGTAGTGTATTTTTATGAAGATATGTTGTAGAGCTCAGTCTCATGTACTGTACACGTACTATGATATCCAACCTACGGAAGTACGAAAGTACTTTCGTACTTTCGAAAGTACACGCGTACACGTGTACTGTACAGTACACGTACGTGTACACGTACAGATATGACGCAGTTTTTTACGTACTGCACAGTACAACGTAGTGTACGTGTAGGGCTACGTGTACGTGTACATTTGTAACCAGATACTTTCGTACATAGAATACGTGCGTGTAGCCCACACATGTACGGAAGTACTTCCGTACGAAGGTACAGTAATACTTCCGTACTTCCGTACGAAGATATCTATACTTTCGAAAGTGCACAGCTGCACACTACAACGTTGTACGAAAGTACTTCAGTACGTGTACTTCGAAGAGTCTTCGAAGTACGTACTCGTACGTTGTAGGGCTATTTCCGGAAGTATGATACTTCCGGAAGTACTTCCGTACGTGTACGTTGTATGTGTACGTGTACAACTACGCGTACAGTAGTTGTAGTTGTACACGTACACGTACAACAAAGACGAAGATTTTTACGTTATTTTTTTGAATATGAAGGTACACGTACACGGCTACACGCTACACGTACACGTACACGTACATGTACAATAAATCTTCACACACACACACACAGTACGTGTAGTTTATAAACAGTAGTACAGTACGTGTACGTGTACAGTACAGGTAGTTGCTGAAATATTCTAGCTACCTTCGGTAGCTAAGCTAGCTAGCTGGCTAGCTAGCTAGTAGCTACGAAAGTACCTTCGAAGGTAGCTGGCTAGCTACAGTACACGTACACGTAGTGTACAGTACATGTACGTGTACAGTACGTCCGGAAATAGATAAGTACGTTGTACTTTCGAAAGTACTTGTACGTTACTGTACGTGTAGTACGTGTACTATTATCTTCGTACGTGTACAGCTGTACACGTACACGTACACGTACTGTACAATAAAGTTTATTACCTTCGTAACAACTTACCTTCGAAGATAGATAATATTTCCGTACGTACTGTACGTGTAGTTGTACTTCCGGTGTACGGAAGTACCTTCGTACTTTCGTACTTTCGTACGAAAGTACGAAAGTATTTCCGTACGAATAAGTACGAAAGTAATAGTTGTACACGTACGTGTACTGTACACAGCTACACACCAACTTTCGTAAAGTATTTATTTTCGAAAGTACGAAGTGTACGTGTACAGCTGTACACGTACACGTACGTGTACAGCTGTACACGTAGTAGAACGAAGTGGGTGAGCTTTTGAATTGTGTGTACGGCTGTACGCCGTGTACGTGTACGTGTACGTGTACAGCTGTACACTACACGTAGCCCTAAGAATAAAAAACGCATCTTCCACAAAGAATGGTACATGAGCATGACCTCAACCATTTACCAATGTGGCGATTTGGCTGTTACTTCAATACCTCAGAAGGTATCTTAGAAGGTATCTTAGAAGGTACTTCCGGAAGTACCTCAGAAGAGTCTCTAGATTTAGTCTTAGCTACTTAGTGTTTGAATCATCTATCGTCGAATTATCTATCGATCAACGTAAGCCAAATCAGCAGTTGGATTAACATGTTCCAGAGGAGAAGGGGCCATCTCCAGAACTAGAACAGTGTGAGGCGCAACAAGGTAGGTACCTCGAGGCCCGGCCAGAGTCACAGACGTGAGAGCACAATCTGATGGAAATACCAGGCTGGTGTCTATGACCCGGACCCACACAAAACCAGGTGGTGGATGGCCTACCACTGCTGGAACTAACTCCGCTGAGCCATTGAAAATCACGACAACATCCTGAGTGGTCGTCCTCAGCTGGCGTGAGAGTGTTGAAGCAGTGCGCCGGCACATTGCGACAGATGGTGCTAGAGGGTCATTCCAAGCATTTGGCGTTGCCCCATCTAGCCCGCTCCAGCTTACATTATTCCCCCCAGCACTAAAGAGATCGGCACGTCGGTGACGAAATGCACAGAGAGCTGCGATGAAGGAACGCATACACGCTCCCTCAGAGTATTTGGCTGTGGCATCCCACCTGAAAACTGTTGGTTCAGTTTCTAAGGACGAGCTTAAAGAAGAAACTTGGCCGAAGCTGGAGTGACCATACTCGTCCCCGGATGATATCATTGGAATGCCATCAGACACAAAAAGACACACCAACATCGAACGAAGCACTACCCCAGAAAGTCGTGGTTCCAATTTAGTGCGTGTCCCTAACTCAGATACTAGGTCTGCAAGTGACATGTCCTTGGGGGAGATCGTCAGCGTGTTCAACACGTGTCCCTGAGACGTGCACCGTGATTTACGAAAATGGTTTGCCGAGCCACAGATGCACGACATGAAGGCACCTACAGATCCTGGAATACGTTCAAAAAACTGCGCAATGCCATCGCCATATGAAGCGTTCACCTCTCCAAAACCTCCGAAGTGATGCGGAGATAACGTTGGATTCCTTCCTGGACCGAGAAACACGCGCACGCTAGCTCCTTTTCCTACACCGCCTAGCACTGGATCTAGTGCAATTGACTCAAGGACCACCGGATGCAGACTTGCCTGACACGCAGAATCACCACAGTCACAGCTACTGTGCAATATGAAACCGTCGATGCCAAAAGCTGTGCGCCAGTGACGAAGGGCGTCCAAAATGAGTCCCTGAGTTGCTGTAGACTTCGAGTCGAGCACTGCGGCTCCCAGCGCACATTCATTTGCCTCCAAAACTCCTGAGTACCCAACCTTGTAGTAACTGACTGGATCAATGCCGCGGAGACTGGCACTGTTAGGGTCCATATCTGTTCCTTCGCCCATATATGTCAATACTGTGTGCATTAACACTTCAATACCATGCGAATGCAGTCCACGAACCATTTCCCGCAGTTCATGCACAGCCAGGCTACCACCTGACTTGGCATATGCCGGGTTGGGCGCAAAAAAACTAATGGGCGCCCCTTCTGAAGAGACACCAATATGCATATTCCCGGGAGTGAATACAGATTGAAGCAAGACTGTCGTTACACCGGTGCTAACGATGTAGTCAACTTTGGATAGCACCCCAGCAAATGTTCCTGCCTGTCCAGGCGGGAGATAAGCACTAGTGTGCGCAGTAAAGTCCGAGACTGAGAGTTCATAAATCACCTCCTGCGCCGGAATCTGCCGCACATGTGCTGTTGTGACTACAAAATCTTGCGCCCTGTACTTTGCAAGCTGGAAAGCACCATCATTCAACACGTCAGTAAGGGAGCCCATATACCTTGGAACAATCGTGTTTGGATCTGGGAAAGGACCAAGTGGTGGCACTAACAGACTTGCTCGCGGGTCGAACATAACTTGCGCTGGATGAAATCGCCAACCGTCTTGCGTGGTGTCTCCATCACACTTATATCCGTACAACACAGCTGTAGTAGTGGTAGTTTGCATAGGGTACTTATCCGTGAAATATCCTTGCACCGGGACTGGGAGAACGCTTTCTTGCATGCCAAAAGGAAGCGCGACGTGCCAGATGTCACCTGTTCTGTGAGTCGTGGGATTGAGCGCTAGTTCTAACGTTTCTGGGGCTTCACCACAGTTGGTCCACTGCAGGATGAGGGTTACCTTTGTTGCCGTCGCAGAATGCAACGCAAAGTTTACCCAACCTGGACCCATTCTTTCAGGCGATAGCCGAGAGGCACCGAGAGGGGCAGGTACTCCAGCTGCCATGCCCAGTGGCAACGCAAATGTACTTGCATGCCGTGTATTATTTGTTCTCGGTCCATCAATGCTCTCAATGTTGGTGACTGGATCTTTGCGCACGAGGACAAAATCAAGTTCAAGTGGTGCAAAGTAAGCAGGAATCTCGAATTTGGCTTGCGCAGAGCGCATCGGGAATCCACCACGAAAAAATATTTCATCTCCTGGGCGTGTCGCTAGAGAAGTTCGCATCGCAGGTCTGCTGCTGTCGACATCATCGAATTCATGGCCCCGTGGAAGATCTGGTAAACACAACCATTCGTCAAGCCACTCGCGATGCAGGCCCCAGTGGATGGAGAGGTGTGTCAGGCTTGACTTATTCGGCTTGCCAATGATATCATAGTTGACGTGTTCCGCGACTTCCACCTTGACGCGATATTCATCGTTGATGGCTTCAGTTTCAGCGTTGACCTGGGAAGAGAAACATGACTAAGAGTTTCCTTTAACAAATTTCAGGCGAATAGGGAGATGATGATGGCTACCAAGCCTCGGTGCAAAATCACTTGCCAGTCTTCCATCTGCAGTATGAAATGTGTACTTCGCTAATGGCTCCCTTGCATTGCCTGACGGACGCGCGAATTGAAGGTGTCCCGTGGTGGAGTTGGCAAAAACAGTCAGAAGTGCACGGCGGCGACGAGCTGTAAGAGACTCCCTCGCCCCCGCCGGCGTTACCGACGACGGCGCTATATGGGTGGGCGACACACGTCGACATATGATATCGAATGTTCTAGTGGTACTTGTCGCGCTGACCATGCATGCGACCGCCTATCACGCCGAGCGCGAGCGCGACAAGACTGTAAACAAGAACGGAAACGAAATTGTGAGTTCAGTTTTATTTACAGGTACGAGTACTCGTAGCCTACAGTACACTTTGATACTGTAACTCGTACACGTAGACAAGATGCGCTAAACTACAACTACTGTATGCCGAAATCGTAGCGCGTGGCGCGGATCAGTTCTTGGACCCTTGCTTATTTGTTTTTTAAATTAATTTCTTGTATGAGCGTCAGTCAGACGCGCCACTCACTTCCGCGCTATGCGCTAGGCGAAAATGCTGTATCATACTAAGATTCCACACGAAATTGTGCGTACTCGTACTCTATGGTTTTTTAGGTGGAATCGAATTAGCGCATCTTCCAAAATAAAAACATTGCCCTTTGTTAGGGCCTACGAAGGTACTTTCGAAAGTACCTCCGAAGGTAGCTAGCTACAGGTACATTGCTGTTCGCGGGTCGCCCTAATGGTCACGTTCGCCAGTTTCAAATTAGTCGGGTAAAAAAAACGTTGAAACCGCGTCCTCCCGGTGGGGAAATTTTCATCGCATCGGTGATTATTTTTCATCGAGGCTGACCGGAGATTCACGATCAAGGGGCGAAAATTTTGAAAGGCAAATCGGCCCACGCGCGCGCCGTTAAACGTGCCCAAGGGCGACCCGCGAACAGCATTGTAGCTACGAGTACACGTACACGTATCATACTGTAGCTAAGTTGTTTTACCTTCGTACTTGTAGCTAGCTACCTTCGTACGAAGGTACGAAAGTAGCTAGCTAGCTACCTTCGTAGTGGCTATCAGCGAAAGGATATGAGCTTAGAAAGGATCTAAAAGGATGAGCGTATGAGCAAATGGGCAGAGCGTAGTACGTTTTTTTAAGGATGAACTACTGACGAGCTCATCCTTTTAACTGCCGCGCCGCGCGAGGACAGTCAGAGAGGCGCGCGCCGCGGCTGCGGCCGGCGCGTAAAAGCGAACATCGACTAGACAGCGTAATCGATCATTCCAGCGTGTTTTATACACCTGGGGCGCTGAATCAGGCTGTCACGGCGCACAGATTCGTCTTTTGCAAAACAGACTCGGCGTTACGAAACAATTGCCGTCTCCTGAGCTCGCGTACGCGACGTCGAAACTTCATGGAAACAGTTCCAAACGTAAAAAAACTTCGTGAATATATCGCATGAACACATACGCACATATTCAAATATCGCGCAACGCAAAAAAAACACGATCGCTTGCGTCGGCAGTTGAACTCCGCGGGTCGAGGCTGTAGCTGCGAAGAAAAATGCTCTTTTACAAATCGACGCGATCGCGCCAGTCTATGCTTTGCTCATGCGATTCAGACACGAACACGGTCGATCCGCGCACGTCGAGGATGATATCATCTAACATGCCGTTCAGTTACAGAGCCAAAAACGGCGTCTGCGTGATGTTACAGCACACCGCGCGCTCATCCTTTTAATATCCTTTATAAGCTCATATCCTTTCGCTGATATCCACTAAACTTATTAAGCCCTGAATTAGCGTTGATGCGACAGAGTTAAGGGTGAAATGAACCCGAAGGGTTCAACCCTTTAAGCTCCGTCAATTCACGCTAATTCAGGGCTTAAAGGGCGTAGGCCTGTACGCTACACGTGTACTGTGAGTTCATGTTAATTATTTCCGTATTGTTTATTTTATTGCATGAACCAACAACACAGAAGTGGAATAAAAAACAACTTACACTACACGTACAGAGTACAGTAGTAGTGTACTGTATGATATGATAAAGTTATTAGCCCTATCTTCGAAGATGCCTAGCTAGCTACCTTCGTACCTTCGAAGGTACTTTCGTACTTTCGTACCTAGCTAGTTGCCTACTGTAATATGATACTTCACTGATACTTCACTGATACTTCCGTGCCTTCGTACGGAAGTAGTTTCTTCGTACTTTCGTACTTCCGGAAGTACACAACAATACTCAATGGGATATTGTGCTACGAGTACACGTACTGTACGTGTACAGCTGTACACGTACGTGTACACGTACGGAAATACCTAAGTACTTTTCGTAGAGAGTAGAATACTTCCGGAAGTACGAAAGTACAACGTACTGTACGTGTACACGTACAACTACGGAAGTATTCTATCTTCGAAGGAAGTAAGGAAGTACGAAAGTACTTTCGTAGGAAGTACAGTAGGGCTAGTACGTACGAAGATAGAATACAAGCCCTACTTCCGGAAATAGATACTTCCGGAAGTATCTTCGAAGGTACAGTAAGTTGTCTATCCGGAAGTACTTCCACGTTCCACCTTCGTACGGAAGTACTTTCGAAAGTACTTCCGTACTTCGGAAGTACGAAAGTACTTTCATAAACAACTTTTACTGTAGATAGATACGCACAGTCCAAAAAAAAAATGTACGAAAGTACGAAAGTACTTTCGTACTTTCGTACGAAGGTACGAAGCTATGGAAGTACAAATCCATACAGTACAACGTACGAAAGTACGAAAGTATAGATAGCCCTACTTCCGTACATGTAATGTACTGTAGGCGCGAGGCCCTACAAGGTAATTATGGAAGTAGCCCTATCCGATATGAATACTTCCCTACTACGCAGACCAGAAGGCGGTTTTTCGCCCGCATTCATATTCACAGATCTGTGAATATGCGACCGACAAATCGATCGCTGCAGGTTTTCCGATCAAAAATGCTGAAAGGGTATTTTCATCGCAAGAGTCGATCAAAAGCTTAACGCGGGTGAAAGACCACGTTCTGGTCTGCGTACACGTACAGTACGTGTAGATCGGTACGAAAGTACAAAGGGATAGATATTCTATTCGTACAGAATGATACCTTCGTACGAAAGTACTTTCGAAAGTACCTTCGAAGGTACTTTCGTACGAAGGTGGTCCAGTGCTGTACTGTACGTGTACTGTACGTGTACACGTACACACGTAACACTGTATAAAAAGCTGGTCATATTTTCATCGCATCGCCGCGCGACGACGCGGCGACGCCACTTGGTTGCCGAGCGCGGCTGTTCAAATCTCTCATCGACCGCTTCTTCGCCTTCCCCAATACCCTTTAGCGAGTAACGACGTCCGCCCCACACTCTTCGCGCGCTCGCATGAGTGACAGGGCGACGCTGCCGGAACCAAGGTGCGGCGCGGACCCCGCGAGTCGGCAGACATCCCGCGATCTCGTCGCTCGCCTCCCGTCCTCCTCGCGCCCTCTAGCGATCGCGCGCGGACGCGAGCGCGCGGCTTCAGTATTCCGACTCTGAGCGAGCGACACTCGCGCACCTCGAGCGCGCGCGTCGGTCGTGGTCGCGCGCGCGAGCGCGACGTCCGTCTTCGACGCCGCCGCTTTTTCGCGATTGCTCCCCTCGCTTTCGCGCCCGCCCCACGCGTACATCCGACCGATTCGACGGTCGACGAACTCCCTCGATCTGACCTTCGCGTCCTCAACCCCGCCTCGCAGACGCGGTCCTTCACCGTATTGTACGTCCGCTGGACGAGGCGTGCCTCAACACGGATCATCGATGCCGGGTACGTCGCGATCGCAACGCGCACGTCGCCTCGTCGTTCGCCTCGCCGCCTCTTTTTTCTTTTTTCCCCAACTGACCTAAGCTTGTCGGATCGTTTCGATGACGACACGGAGCACGCCCGGTTCGTTCTCGTCGTTCTTCGTCGATAACTGACGCGCGTATCCGCCCGCTCCCGTTCTTCTTCGTCGCCCTCAGCGTCCTCAGCGCCGTCGCAAACGGGCGTGCCCCCGCCGAGGGTCAGCCCCGGCGTCCCGACGCCGCGCGATCGCGATCGCCTTCACCTGCCGCCGCACGGCATCGCCGGCGGCGACGCGGACGGGACCAAACCGCCCCCGGCGTTCTCTTTCGGGACGATGCCGCACGGCGGCGGCGCGGGAGGACCGGGAGGGGCACACGATGGCGGTGACCGCGGTGGCCCTCCGAAGCCGAACGCCCCGCAACCCGTCGGACCGAAACCGCACGGCGCGTCACCGCCGCAAGGGATGCCGCCGCCGAATACGATGGCCGGTCTGGTCCCCCCGGGTGTGAATCCGCAGTATGCATTATCTCAGCACATGGCTGCCGCGGCGATGATGGGGAAAAGCCCGCATCCGATGGGTTTCCCCAGCCACGGTTTCGTCGCGCCGCACGGGGGATTCCCGGGCGGACCCGGTGGGTTCGGACCGTCCGCGTTTTCGCCGCCGACCCCGATGAGTTTCCCTTTCGGCCCGCGAGGACCGATGGGCGCACTGGTCGGGGGGATGGGGATGCCGGGGCCGCCCGGCGGGATGGGCCCAGGCGTTGGCGGACCCGGCGGACCCGGAGGGAACGCGAAGATCGGCGTCGGCGTTGGCGGTTCGATCCAGGGACCCTCTCAGCCCGGACCTCCGCCCGAGCGACGAAAGTCGAGCGCGATACGAATCGTCAACCCCAACACGAAGGAGGAGGTTAAAGGCGAAGTGAAAGCGAAGCCGCCCACGCCACCCGCGGACGCGTCCAAGCTGCCCATCGCGGCCGATGGATCTTCGAAGTCTTCTCCCGACGTTGCGGAGAAGCAGACGGTCGCCGGCGGCGTCCCGGACGGCGCGGGAAGGCCGAACGCCGGAGCTTCCCCGCCACTCGCGCCGCCGCACGGATCGTACCCGGTGGCGGTCGCGCCGCCTGGGAGGATACCGATTCTACCTGCGGGCGCGCCGCAGCAGTCGCTGGGTGGCAGCAACCCCGGAAAAAGTTCGTTTGCGGTTGGCTCCCCGGAGGTGGCGGCGTCCGCGGCGGCTCAGGCACATGCGTACGCGCAGCACGCGTACGCTCACGAGCGAGGGATGGCCGCGGCGATGGCCGCGGCGGGGATCCCGTCGGCGGGGTCGCAACCGCAGGCGGCGACGAAGCCGCCGAGCGGCGCCCAGTGGCTGCCTTCGTCAACGCCGTCGCCACCACAGGAGAAGAACGCCGCGGCGGCGGAGGGGAAACCGACACCCGCCGCCGCGGAGCAAGGCAGAATCGACGCCGCGATGGAAGGCCTGTCCGTGGACGATACGTCGCAGTTGCAGTCGCAGTCGCGCGCGCCGCCGCGGCCGCCGCCGGGGCCTCCTCCTGTGGCGCTGGCCGCGGCGTCCGAGCCAGTGCCGCCCGCAGAGGAGGATCACCCTAAACCTTTCGCGCCTCCGGAGACGACGACAGAAGAAGCGAAGGGACCCACGCCCGCGAAAAACGACGCGAAGGAAACCGCCGTTGTCGTCGCATGGGACCCCCCTACCGAGGGCGCACCCCCTGCAGGGACGACGTCCGGATCGGGCGAGCTCAAATATACGCTGGACTTTCTGAAAGCGTTCGAGAGCAACCCGAACTGCCAAGCTTCTCCGGAGGGCCTCGAGGCCCCTGATGACGTTGATTACTGGCCGTTGATCGGATTCGTGTGCCCGCCCGGTTTTGGAGGGGGGGGCGGCGGCGGTGCCCGCGGACGTGGCAGTAGCCGAGGCGGGCCGCAGTGGAACGGACCATCCGGCGGTGGCGGAAATCGCGGCGGCGGCGGCAGCAGCAGAGGCGGAGGTAAAGCTGATAAGTGGGGACACAAAGGCCTCCCCCCCGATGAAGGTGGCGACGGCAAGGGCGGGAACCGCCGCGGCGGCTTTGGCGGCTATGGTCAGCCTGTGTCCAACCGTCACGACCCGCGCCTTCCCGCGTTGCAGCAGATTGACGAATCGAAGAAATTTACGCGTTTGAACAAAGAAGTGCTCGACGAGGAAGAGAGGAAGCAGAGGTCGTTCAAGTCCATACTGAACAAGCTCACGCCGCAAAACTTCGAAAAGTTGCTCGAGAAGGTTCTCGACGAGGGCATCTCCACGGCGCAGACGTTGATCGGTTTGATCGCGCAGCTATTCGACAAGGCGCTCACTGAGCCGACTTTCGCGGAACTGTACGCGACGATGTGTCAGCACCTCAGCGATCGTTTCTTATCCGAGAATATTGAATTTCTAGATCCGGAGTCGGACCCGGACGTCGCGGAGCCAAAGAGAATCACGTTCAAGCGCGTCCTCCTGAACAAGTGCCAGGAAGAGTTCGAGAAGGGAGACGCCGCGATCAAGGCAGTGGAGCAAGAGAGCATCGACGCCGCGAGCGGGAACACCGGCGAGGCCGAAGATGCGGGCGCGGCGGGCGAAGAGAATCTCGAGGACGGAGAGATCAAGAAGGAAAAATCCGCTGCGGAGAAGGAGCTCACGGAGCGACGAAAGCAGCTGGAGCGAGACGAGCGAATGACGATCGCGCGACGCAGAATGCTCGGTAACATCAGGTTCATCGGCGAGCTCTTCAAGAAACAGATGCTCACGGAGCGCATCATGCACACGTGCATAATGAAACTCCTAGGTGAGACGAAGAACCCAGACGAGGAAGACGTCGAGGCGCTGTGTAAGCTTCTAAGCACGATTGGCGGGCAACTCGACCACGCGCGAGCGAAGGACCACATGGACGCATATTTCCGGCGCATCCTCGGCCTCGCACGGTCCGACTCGATATCGTCCCGGCATCGATTCATGTGCCAGGATGTGATCGAGATGCGGCAGAAAGGCTGGAGAGAGCGACGGAAGCAAGAGGGGCCGAAGAAGATAGACGACGTTCACAAGGACGCGGCGAGAGAAGCGGCGAACGCCGCGCGAGGGGGACCCCGCGGCGGTGGGGACCGCAGAGACGACCGCAGAGACGACCGCAGAGACGACCGCAGAGGCGGCGGCGGCGGGAGACGTGACGAACCGAGAGGCGACCGCGACCGCGGCAGCAGGGACGATCGATCGCGTGTCGGGGGCGGGGATCGAGGCGGGAGAAGTACGCCGCCCGTGGAGATGGGGAGAGGTGACGTGAACCGCCGCGGCGACGATCGCCGTGGGGGACCGCCGACGGATCGAAGAGACGACCGCGCGCGCGGGAGCGGCGCGAGGGACTTGCCGCGCGGCGGGGGCAACGAGCGTGAACAGCGCGGTGCGTTGCCACTGGTGCCGAGAGGAGACCGTGAGCGAGGCGGCGGCGCGTCAGCGGAGGTGCGCGTGTCGACGCCCGACGGGGCGACTCGAGTGGACGAGCCCTCGCCGACGCCGCGGCCCGCGGCAACGGAGCCGATGTCGGACGAGGAGTTCGAGACGGAATCGAAAGTGATGATCGAGTACTTCTTCGACGACAAGGACGTGGCAGAGGCGGTGAAGACGATGAAATCCTGGGCCGAGTTTGAACGCCGAGTCCCGACGTTCGTGGAGTCGTTCATCACGTCTGGGTTCGAACGCAGAAACATGGACTGGGAAGCCGCCGCGAAGCTGTTCCGCGCGCTCCCCACCAGCGTGGACGGTCCGGCATCGCCGGGATCGATCATGCTCGGCGTGAGAGCGGTGCTCGATAACCTCGAGGACATCATGATGGACTTTCCGATAGCGGACGAGTGCCTCGCGAGGATCCTCGCCGGCGCCATCGCGGATGGGTCGCTGACATTCAAGTCCCTTGCAGACCACTGTGGAGACGCGGCTCCGCGCGAAGACGGCGTCGAGCCAGGGTACGTCAGGCGAGAAGGATACGCTCTGTCGCTGCTCGTGAAGACACTTCACGCGGTCGCGCGTCTCGGCGGCGACCCGGTCGCATCCGACGCCCTGATCGGAAGCGGCGTCGACTTGAGAGACTTTGTCGGTGACCTTGACGCGGAGAACGTGGAGACGAAGGAAAACGTCCTCCGGGACAACGACCTCGCGAAGTACGCGAACGACGCGATGACGATCGTTCGCGATACGCTGGACGCCTATAAGGAGGCACCAGTCGACGTGGCATCGTGCGTCGCCGCGCTCGAGAAGAACGTGCCGCCGCGCACGCGAGCGTCCGCGGCGTTCGTCGCCGAGGTGTCTGCGTTCGCGCTGCGCGCGGCAATTCCGGACGCGCACGCGTTGGCGACGGAAGGGCCTCTCGCATCGCTCGAGAAGCTCGCGCCTTTGCTGCGCGCGGTCGTTGCGGGAAAAAACCTCCCCGACGCGAGCGAGTGCGCGGTTACGCGAGAGCAGCGCGAGGTCGCGACGCTGCACGCCACGCAGGCGTTCATCGCGGGCGCCAACCATCCGAGTGGCGTCCTCGAACGCGTGTTTCGGGATTTGTACAACTGCGACGTCTTGGACGCGGCGGCGATTCTTCGCTGGCGCGACGACGCATCACCGGCCAGCGCAAGAGTACCGGGGAAGGATAAGGCTCTCTTCGCGGTTACTGAGTACCTGTGCGAGCTCGAAGAAGAGGATAATGGCGACGAGGCATGACGCGCATCGATAGCCGTACTTTTGACTGAGAAACGTTCGTTGAAAACAAAAAAATCGTGCTACCTGTACCTGTACAGTACACGTACAGTACGTGTACACGTACTGTAGCTGTACGACTGCTGTACGTGTACAGCTGCACACGTAGCCCTACATACGTGTACTTGTACGAAGGTACTTTCGTACGAAAGTACTTTGTACTTCATTGCGAAGGTACACAGCTACACACTACCTTCGAAGGTACGAAGGTACTAGCTACCTTCGAAGGTACCTCCGAAGGTAGTAGCTAGCTAGCTACCTTCGTACTTTCGTACGAAAGTAGTAGACTAGCTAGTAGCTAGCTAGCTACCTTCGTACCTTCGTAGAGTACTTTATTTATGTACTTCCGAAAGTACTTTCTTCCGGAAGGTATGTGACTAGCTGACTACAGTACGTGTACGTCTAGAGTAGTACTGTCGGTTTGATTTATAAGACTGAGCTCTAACCCATCCGGGCAAAACATGTGACCTACTGTAGCTAGTGCGAACAAACTTCTCTACGGGTAGTCCTCTCACGCAGTAAGCAACCCCACGATGTGATCTCTGAGGCTGGTGTGAGCGTCGCGAGCACACGTGTACGTGTACACGTACTGTACGTTGTAGCACTCCCGACGCTATCATATCACCGTTTGCAAATCTGTTTCCGCCGAAAAGGTGTACAACGTTGTACGAAGGTACGAAAGTACATCTGTACAACGTACAACTACAACTACGTGTACTGTACTTTTTCATCGGTTATTCCTGGCTACACGTACTGTGCGTTGTACACGTGTACGTGTACGTGTAGTGGCTACACGTATCAAATTGTACAATATTACATGTACAGAATGACTACACGTAGCTGTTCCAAACATAGATAGCTGGGATATCATTTTGGATGACAAACACAACACAACGCCCACCATATCCTCCGCACGGTCGACAGACCCTGCAGGACCAACACCGGTTGTACACATACGACCCCACATATCAACGACACGTACCTTCATAACCCTAGAATAGACTAGGCCCAACTAGCTAGACTATCTACTGTACACGTGTACAACTAAAATACTGTGTTGTACACGTACACGTGTACAGTACAACGTTGTAGGCCTACGAAGGTACGAAGGTATCTATTTTCGTACGAAAGTACGAAAGTACGAAAGTACTTTCGAAAGTAGTTGGCTGTACAACGGTTACTGTACTGTACAGTACGTGTACACGTACTTCCGTCCTGTCATGTCAGTCTTCAACGACTCTTTCACGTTTTTGAAAACGTGCAGGTACTCTTGTGGTCACCATATCGCAGACTCTCCTCAGCTACCCCGCATTCTAGCTGGTTGAACGGCGTTTTTATTCATATACGCCACCGGCTATTTTATTTTCATTTATTGACGTCCCGCGGCTGGGTGCCCTGGTTAGTTTGTTCAGCGATATGGAAACAGATGGAGAAAATTGGAGCGAAGATTTGATACGATACACACGTGCTAAACGAGGTTCTACACCGTTGCGTACCACTGGGTCTCCATCTTTCATGAAACCGAATGAGATCAAACCCGTTTTTTCAGATCTGGACCCATATCGTGGGCGACTGACGAGAAACCAAAGTTTGAATGTAAAAAACTCGCAACCGTATGGCAGGGACACTTTGACAGGCGACTTTCATAATGCAGGACTGAACACAAGTTTGGAACAGGTGGCCAGAGACGAGTGGGAGACCAGGCGTGGTACCGCGGGTGTGAAAATCGTGAGCGATCCCTATGCAGGTCCGTATGTAGGCGCGAACCGCCAAGTCGCACAGGGTACTGCCAATCCCACTGGCCGGGTTAATCTCTTTGACACTATGCAGTTCACAGACCACACAAGCAGATCTGATACATGTAAGAAACCAGCTAACAAAGATGGGTGGCTTGGCAATCGACTTCTGGATCCTAGAAAAGGACGAAACTGTGAGTCCAAATCTCCCAAGAAGGACGGGCGAAAAAACTTGTACGGCTTACTACAAGGTGAATACAGTTCTGAGGATAATTCAAAAGATGGCTGGGTAGGTCACCCCCTGTATGATCCATCAAATGGAAGAAAACCGATGCAAGAAACACCTGCGAGTCGGAAGGGTCGATCCGATCTTTTCGCGACTCTCCAGAATCAGCCAAAAAAACTCGAAGACAAGTCGTTGGATGCCTGGGTCGGGCACAGACTCTATGACCCAGCCTGTGGGCGAAAAGTTGACACTGACTACCGTCCAACGGTAGAAATAGTAGAAGTCCTTCACGATAATGGCGACGTCAAGCCATATTTTTGCAATATGAATCAGCGTCCAATTCCAAAGAATTACTATACAGAACTGCATCCCAGCATTGTTCCACGGGGCGAGATCGTAGATGTTCTTGTGGACGATCCGAAACCTGGTGAGCCCCTTCGCCAGGGTCCAAAGCGTGTTCAGCCGCAGCCGGCACCAACTGGGAGAACAGATCTCTTTGCACTTCTATCGCATGATTTGAACGAGCTGCCCGAAGACAGGAAACCACATCCTAGGCACCTCACTGAGCCTGGAGCAGACAGTCAGCCTGGAAAAGGGAAGATTTTACTTTATGCAAACGAGAATTGCAGAGGCTTTTGCGATTGAGTTCTGAGTTTGACAAGCAACAGAGCATTTGTTTTTGAGCCCGTATAGCCACTTGCGTGTCGGGTTGAGTGCAGCATGTGGTATTCAGTATGCATTTGAATTGATTCTTTAAGTAATCTTCTATCTATAATTTCGCAATATTGGATGCACTTGTGAGTTCCACTCACGTGACATCTTGAAAATCCATGATGAGCGCATACACTTCCGCATAACGTAGCGCATCGCACGCGCCAACATAGCCAATAAACGTAAATATATCCTGCAGCTTAGATTATATAATTGTTGTCTTGATGTATACATACGCCCTAAAATTCTGTCCACCCGTCGTCCTCATCGTAAGTGCAGCAATTTCAGCGATGTTTTGCAACCCTAGTCGGCGCCAAACCTCGACTCTTTGGTAACTCACAAGAACCCTGTAAGACGACTGGTTCAACTGCTTCGCAAGAAGGGATGTCGTTCGTTCAGAAAAAACTTTATCGTACATGTAGACATGAGAAAAGTCGAACGTTCCATACTTCGTGGCATCACCAAGCTCAAATCTGCAGCCGGATCTAAGAAGTGTTTGCGTTTCGTTATTTAGAAACGATTGCCGCCTGGAAGTGAGTTCTTTTATGGTCTCTGACGCCATTGCCGCTCGTGACGCAACGTATTCGATGCCGACGGCAGATTGAACCCTCGCAGATAACTTAGCGTGAAGGACAACCTTACCATACCCACTCCCAATATCGATGAAGCTGCTAAACCGAGTCAAATTCCAGCTCGGATCCGGTTCAGACGCTAAATTTTGAGCTTCGCAAGAAGTTGCCCTCGACTTTAATTCTTCTTCAGGATGGGTTGATATAGGAAGTGGTACAGCTAGCGTTTTAGCGGTAATCGATTTTAAAAAAATGAGCAGTCGTTCAATAGATCCCTCGGTCATTTCACCATATCCTTCACTGGATGCATCGCTATCTGCATTCTCCCTGCTATCTTTGACAAAAGTACTTGTCGCACTTTTGTTACTACTTGACCTGTCGTCAAGTGCCAGAAGAGAGGAACGACGTTTACGCGGACCACTCACCAACCAATCAGAAGTGAGTCCCCAATTCAGAAACGACTTTTTGTCGACGAAGCGGTAGACGCTCTGCATGAGAGTGAAAGCAACTGTCAAAAAGACATTTATGAAGGGAAAGACTGTTGTCGAGAAATCTGCGCAATTTCTCAGAAAAGAATGCGCAATTCTCAGAAAAGGATCGAGCGAACGAATACCTTGACGACCGGGTCAACGTGCACCGCTTTCCTGAAATTTGTTGTCTTGCACTCGCGATGTTCCCGTTTCTCGGTAGCGTGCTTTTTGGTGAGAATTCCACTAACGTCTTCCTCTTGTTTCGTTGACTCGGTAAGTAAGTTTGGGGCTCGTCCGCTTTTTCGGGACCTGAATGCCTCTAACATTCTAAGAGGATGATGTGAGTCTGGTTTGGACGCGATTGCTCACAATTTCAAGTAGTGATACAATGCGAGAGATCGCGCAGCCGGAAAGGTGGGGGGGAAGGGAATTAAAGTACGAGGTTCGTTTGCTCTCAAGCTCTCGATCTCATAATACACCTTCGTACGAAAGTACTTTCGTACGAAAGTACTTTCGTACGAAGATACGAGTACGTGTAGGGCTAGTGGGTTTAGGACTCACTGGTTTAGGTACAGTACACGTACTGTACGGTAACGACGTTGTACACGTGTACAGGTGTACGTGTACATCCGACGTTGTACAACGTGTAGATACTTCCGTACATTTGTACGTGTACCTGTACTCCGCGGACCCACACGTCCGCGAGTTCGCCGCCCAGGTCGCGGTATCCATGGACTCGCTCCGGGGCGAAGGCGCGACCGCCTGGCACACGGTGATCCCTTTCTCGAAGGCCGGGGAGCTCTCCACCGCTCACGTGCGAAACCAAGTTCGCTTCGAGCTCGGCCTCAATCCCCGCCGCCATCAAGGTCCTCATCGACCGGAAACTCGCACGCCACCATGCCGAGTGCGGCAACGCGACGTTCACACACAACGCCGTCCACCACATCCTCAACCACAAGGAAGGCAACGCCGGCGGCAACAGGGTCCGCACCCACGACCGCGTGGTGCGAGCCGTCGCACAGCTGTGCAAAGACGTCGGACTCGTCGCCGTGACGAAAGGCCTCCGGGGCATCCTCCCCCGCGACATTGTGCGAGGCGCACACCAAGACCGCATGAAAACCGTTGACATCAGCATCACGGGACTCGACAGCTCGATGACCAGGATCCTCGGTGACGTCGTCGTCCCCCACCCGTTCAAAGGTGACGGGCGCGCGAAATACAACGGTCAGCGCCCCGATGGGACCCGCTCACCAGCGAACATCTAACCGGGCGAGTACGCGCTCGAGGCGGAGAAGAAGAAGCTCGACTGGTACGGCAACATCCCTGAGGGCCGCGGCTTCAGCCTCGTGACCATGGCCATCGACACGTACGGTTTCAAGGCGCCGCGCTTCCGCAAGTTCCTTAACCAGCTCGCCAATCACGGTGCGAGAGGTACTGTCCCCGCCGGCGACGCCGCCTCCGAGGCCGCGGCCGAGGCCACGCTCTCCGCCATCGCGAGGAGCAAAAGCTACTGGAAACGACACATCATGGGCCACATCTCCGTCGCGCTCGTATCCGACATCGGGAACCGCACCGCCTGCGCGCCCATCTCGTACGCTCTCACAACCGCACGTGACTCTGAAAACTCAGTTGTGGGATTTAGTTGCGCCAAAATCGGGTGGAAAATCGGGTCACCCCAACCTATTTTGCCATACGATTTTAGACCCGATTTTGCAACTAAACCCCGTTTCGAAATTCGGGTCTAAAATCGGGTGGGGTGACCCGATTCACCCGATTTTACACCCGATTTTAGACCCGATTTTGCTACTAAACCCCTCTTCAGTGAAAACTTCCACGCGGGCGCGGCAGCGCAAATCCTATTACTTCCGAAGTACTTTCGTACGAAAGTACTTCCGTACTTCCGGAAGTTCCGGAAGTACGTGTACAGCTGTACACGTACACGTACGACTCACGTAGCCCTACGTGTATTTCGAAGGCACCTCAGCTGAAGATATCCGACAGTACACGTTCCGGAAGTACTTCCGTACTTCCGTGCGAAGGTACTTTCGAAAGTACTTTCGGTATTTCCGTACAACGTACGGAAGTACTTTCGTACTTTCAACGTACAACGTAGTCTATGTATGTAGCCCTACTGTACATGTAGGGCTACACGTACTGTACCTTCGTACTGAAGTACGGAAATATCCGGAAGTATCTTCGAAGATACGAAAGTACGAAAGTACTTTCGTACTTTCGTACGAAAGTACGAAAGTACTAAGTACAAGATAAACGTACAAGTACCTCCGCACATGTACAACTACTGTACACGTGTACAGTTGCACACGTGTGTGTGTGCGTGTGTGTGTAAAAATAGCCCCCGTTCCATAAAAATATTAGGCTTGTGCGGACTCTAATCCGTGAAACGTTCTGTGGTGCTACCCCTACCTTGCTCCCTCTCGCTCTCACTCACATCCGCGACTCCAACCACCGCATCTACGCCACCGCCTAAGAGTCGTTGTCCTACCGTGCGCGCCAGCGCAACTGAGATCCTCCTCTCCCATCACATGTATGAAGTACTTCCGGAAGTACTTATTTCGTACGGATGTAACGTACAACGTTGTAGACTGTGATGACTTCCGGAAATAGATAGAATATTTCCGGAAATATCATACTATCAATACTGTAGAATACTTCCGCGCAGTGTCCTTCCTTCCGTATAGTTATACCTTCGAAGGTACAATTTGCATCATTTACAACGTTGTGCATGTACACGACTATAAATACACGTTGCAAAGCCACAAAGACGTGTGGAAGTCCTCGCTGACTGAAATGCCCAGGAGCTTACCCGGCTCTGTTCTCGTTGCTAACGAGTCGTGGCGAGAGAGTTGATTGAAGCGTTTAGTGTGGCAGATTATTACAAAGCTAATTTTTTAAATCTCTAGCAAGTGATAACAGCTCTTCGTTTCACAGGAAAAAAAAAATCATTTGATTCCCTCGTATGGATTCAAGCCCAACTTATTCAGAAGTTTGTCGTTCGCCCCTTTGGCTATGAGGTAATCACTAAGGGAATTAAAACCATATGCAATGCAATAGTGCAATCCAGTGCATCCCTGTTTGTTTTGCGAGTCCAAACTTGCACCATGTCGAAGCAAGGCCTTTACTATTCGAGCATTGCCATTCTGGCAAGAAATAATGAAAGGAGTGTTGCCGAACTGATCCCGGCCTTCTGCTGGACAGCCGCTATGAAGTAACTCGGTCACCTGCAAAGAAAAAGAAACTCAGAACGAAACGTATTCAGATGTAGCAAATCAGGATAGAACATGAACTAGACATACCTGCTTATATTTGCCATGTCGTGCATATGAAAATAAATTTCGAAAATCAATAGTGGTGAACTGCCGTGTCCGTCCCTCAGTCACTGGTACAGAAAGGCGGGAACCACCTGCAAGACTTACTTTTTTAACACTTTTTATGGCTTTTGCTGGCGGAATTTTTGCGTTTGATACCGACGATAAGGGTAGAATCAGAGAAGCGAGTGAATGAGAAGCCATCATTCATCTACATGATGTCAAAGTTTCATGAAAATGCGACCAAACTGTGTTCCACACCAAGAACGGTGAGCCTTCTGGCTGTTGCTCAGAGAGTTTGTGTGGAAGACTGTTTGTATGCTTGCCAGAAATTCGATTGCCTTCAGATTTCGTACCTGAGTTTTCTTTCGAAAACAACTGACGGCATTTGTCTGACGATTCTTTTTGCATCGCACTGAGTACGATTTTAGGTACTAAAGCTTTGTTCTTCAGCTTGTGAATTTCCGGTGCTGCAAACTCTTTTTGTGAAAGATCCAACCTGTCCCGCACCCCAAGTTCTAAATCAAGATTTCGCTCGGCTACAGCAGCATAGGATTCAAGTGCGTCATCACGTTTGCCTACTCCATCCATTAAATGGAACGTTTTGCGCAGACCCCCGCCTCGACTGTCTGCATTCTTATCTTTATGGTTTTTCCAGTTTTGCTTTACACTTATGCTGTCAACCTTTGAAATATCGAGACGTGGGACAGAGCGACAAGAGGAAGTGACCAAATCTGTTTGCATACGACCTAATTGATCGTTATCCAAACTATCGAGTTCGCTTTCTTCGGCTTTAGACTGTGCAACTTGGTTGAAGAAAGGCCTTTGGTCACGAACAACTGCGGATACGGCCTTGCCAGGGTTTCCGGAAGCACGTAAGTCACTTTTGGATCTAGTATCAACAGCGTCAAACATACATTTGACAGGATGCAAATTGCTTAATCTGTAGGGCCAGGCGGAATCTGAACTGATGACCGAAGTAAATCCCTGAGACCCTTCAAACTCGTGGACACTACTAGCTTCAGACGGAAACTCTAGCCTGAAGTTTATGAGATCAAGGGCCGCATTCAGCAAAGTACGCGTGGTGTCATCCAATATTAAGCTATTTCGATCGAAATCAGCTTTATCCGCACGAATACCATCGGTTGCGCCTAAATTTTGTGCTCGCCAACTCCTTGGTACGGGTAACAGGCTGGGTTGCTCGGAGAGTTGCTGAGAACCGAACGCTCCAGGGTCGTTCGGCACATGCATTCTACTTATTCGTCTTGAGCCGAACAATTTTACGGACCGCTCAACATTGGCCAATGGCTTATCGGGAAAGGGTGCGTTTCGAAACCGAAGTGAGGCGCGAGGCGCGTATATGAACGGTTGTAACGTGTGCGACGGTAGCGAAGAGAACTCTTCCTTCTGTACAGTATGTAGCTACAGACAGTACTGTATGTAGATATGTACGAAGGTACGAAGGTACATATCTAGCTACCTACGTATCCTCTGGAAGTACCCTAGTCTTACCTTCGAAAGTACTTTCGTACTTTCGTACGAAAGTACCTTCGAAGGTATTATAGTCTATTAACGTGCTATCACTATGTGCCCTACATATTCGAAGGTATGGAAGTACGTTCCAAAGTAATAGGGCTACAGTATAAATGCTACGAAGATAAATAAACCAGCAGATAACGAGTATTACAGGAGATACTTGAACTCGGCATACCTCCCAGAAAAATCTCTTCTATTCAGGGAAATATCAACCGCCACATTCCCTAATGTGCATGAGGGAGTCAGACAAACAATCTCCCTTTCGCTGATAAATGCTGCCTGGACGTGTATATTCCGTAGCTTACAGCTTAAGTGCCGAGTGTCTTTAAATTTAAGCCCGTGAATGTGAACAGTTGTGCCCCCTCTATGTGAGGAACAAATGATGATGTGAGCAAGAAAATAATGAGCTTTGCAAAGAGTGAGTTGCTGTGAAAAATAGATCATACCCAGCAGGACCCCTTTCAGGAATCAAAAACTCTAGTGTAGGAGGGTCAAAATATTTATAATTTATAGCTTCCTGTGCCCGTGAAGAACGTGGGTTGTTAAAGTGGAAACGAGAATTAGATAGGTACGCAAAAATATACCGCATCGTCAATGCCAGTTGCAGGCATTTCCGGTAATAACTCAATGCGTGCATGTCCCGACTGAAAAACAAAAGTAAAAAAAGCAGGACATACATGGGACACATTAATACCAAGGGCAAAGCAAGAGCAGGTACTTCAAAGAAAATAAGTGTCGATGACACAGAAAACAGAAATTGCAGCACTGTGCCAAATCTGCAGAGAAGTCGGCCATCATCACTTAATCCCTGAGAAAAAAAGTGGTCGTAAACAGTCGTGACTGGCATTCGGTTAGATTATCCTGTCCAACCATATTTGCACCCTGCACGTGAGCTACTGTGCCACCCCCTTCATCACCGGTCCGAGGTTCGATGATATCGAGTGTCGGTTTTATTTTGCTCCCGCCCTGTTGCAAAAATGTACTCCGAGAAGTCGGGTTCAGAGATACGAGATCATATGAACCAAGAAAGCTAGCCTGCTCAAAGTCAGAGTTGAGAAAAATGAAAAGCTCATTGGGAAACAGAAGATCAGTGCGCTAAAGTAAACACAATAATACATTTTGGTGGTTTTGACTAAACAAATGGGGAGCATCTATTCTCTTGCTTAAGCGCGAATATGTCGAAATGGTCGAAAGAAAATGAAAACCGAATGTAGAATCTAGATCTGCACGAGATCGATAATGTATGAGTAATCAGGTAATACAAATCTGCCGAAATGAATAAGCAAACTCACCTAAATTTAGAGCAATAGGCAATACCTTCGTCTGCGTTGTAAAGCTGTCTACCACAGCAAATCCAGCCTTAATAAATAATTATGTTCAGCAGGTTCAGCAGGTGGAGGCAAAAACATAAAGTGTTTTTTTTGAACCTGGTTGTTTGAAAATAAAAGTGTATGCCTCCCTGGATACAATTCAGGCAAAACACAACTGCAACTGGAAAACATAAAACCGTAAATACTAAATAGTTGGGCTGAAGGTTAACAGCTAAGATCTCGTGGCAGATGGTTATGATGCACAAAAAATACCTAGTGGAAGAAATTTGGCGTCCAAAAGTCAGAACTGAGCCAAATAAACATTTACAAATGAGTTCGTCCGTGATAGAGTCAGAACCAAAAAAGTTGCCTGCAATTTGTAAAAGGAAACTAAGTTCACAACTTCCCTTTGATCAGTATTCAATCTGAGCACACCTTCCACTATGAATTCGCTTCCAAGAGAACCGTCTAAAGCAAAGTTGTGCACCACGCCAGTTATCTCGAACACGCCTACATGGTTATCACATGAACAACTCTCTAAGAGTTTACTTTTCAAATTTTACGCAACATACGTGAATACCCCAACACGTATACATCAATATGCTCACTCTCGTTTTGAGTACTCGTAACGGCAATAGTCAATGGAATGCCAGCTGTACCGTTTGTCGATATTTTAGCCAAGATTTCGCAGAAAAGTAAGGCACTGGAAAAAATAGCTGCTTGGACAAAAGACCCAGTGCCGCCATCACATACACAACCGTTGCGAAATCCCTGCCCTTGAACCTGTGTAGGAAAGCAGGCATAATTGTCAAAGCCGAACACGTGTGTCTTGAAGGGGAGAGCTTACCATGACAAGGGATCCACCCAGTGGATCCACGCGCTTTGGAAACACGTTCCAGATCGAAGTGGTAACTGCTGAAACGTTTAGAAAATAACTTGTTATTCAACAAAGTAAGGAGCCGAACCGTATTCAAAATAGAGACCCGCATTGGTATAGTCCCTTCCGTTGAGAGTAACATCGACACTAATAAAACCTGTAGAGAGCTGCGGGACTTCGCAAAGTATCACCGATACATGAGTGGTGGAGTCCTTGCTAAGTTGAGCGAAAATCAGTTGCTCGCCCATTCTGTGTTTTTCTTTGAGTGAACCGGAATACGTTAATTAATTGAAAGGTTTTGAAAGTTCCTCACCTGCAGAATACGGCAGCCGGCGCGGTTGATATGTGCAAACCATTCAGCGTTATCATCGTCCCGCCACCTCCGAGCGACGGGTGCAGCTCGATGTCACTTGAACCGAGAGCTAAGCAGCCGAGGTGCGCAACGAAAAGAAATACTAGGCGACCAGGCCAACTTAGCACACGTGGCGGCATTTTTCCGAGACTACCTTAACATGTTGCTTGCAGCGATCCCAAAAAAATCCGGGTATAACTCGAGAATAACTTTCGTTCTGAACAGTGCGATAGGTGCAAAACGCGTGCTGACCACAACGCGTTGCGCGCGCGGTTGTTACCTTCTGACAATTTTTATGGTAGACTACTTTTACTGTACACGTACACGTACGTGTACAGTACAATTTGTAGACTGCACGTACTCGTATCACTCACATAGAATATCTATTCTACGAAGGTATCTTCGTATGTAGCTAAATAAGCTTGTATCTACGGAAGTACGAAAGTACTTTCGTACGGAAGTACGAAAGTACTTTCGTACGAAGGTACTTCCGGAAGTACTTTATTTCGTACCTTCGAAGGTACCTTCAAGGTAGCTAGCTACGTGTACATAGAGCTAGATAGCTAGTCCAATGCTAGTCTATTCTAGCTACGAGTAGTCCATCTAGCTAGTCTAGCTACACGTATGTACTGTACAGGGCTACAGGCAATATCAGTTCCAATAGACGAGTTGCGATAGTCGCGCTCAGACGAATTGCTCATAAAGTACTTTCGTACGAAAGTACTTTCGAAAGTACTTTCGTACTTATTAGCACGTAAAACATGCAGTACGTGTAGCCCTAAGTTGTTATGAACATTTATAATACCTTAGGTATGAATGTCCCGCGACCCGAAACCGTTCAGTAAACTACTGTAGACTAAGTACGTGTAGCCATAGCTACTAGCTAGTGTAACGTTCGTGTAGCCTTGTCACTTGTGTCTTATTTATTCATGAACTTTTCTTTACGTGTATACCCCTGGTGTACAGCAACTTATGCGTACGTGTACACGTGTATGTAGGGCTACGTGTACACCGCGTTACTGTGCCTTCGTAGTCTCTATTTACCTTCGAAGGTACCACTGTACGCAGGGCACTCGCAGGGCTATTTTATTCAGACTACGTTGTAGTCATTGATACTATGCTGTTCGCGGGTCGCCCTTGCGGAAAGTGGCGAAGGTGGTCATTTTGACCACCTTCGCCAGTTTCAAATTAGTCGGGTAAAAACACGTTGAAACCGCGTCCTTCCGGTGGGGAAATTTTCATCGCATTTTCATCGGTGATTATTTTTCAACGAGGCTGACCGGAGATTCACGATCAAGGGGCGAAAATTTTGAAAGGCAAATCGGCCCACGCGCGCGCCGTTAAACGTGCCCGTAGGGCGACCCGCGAACAGCATAGGCCCTCGTATGAATATGACTACGAGTAGCTGTACGTGTACTGTACACGTACTTGTACACGTAAGTTGTTTTACACATATCTTAAATGATTGATAAAAGTATTTTAGTTATGAAGCACCTTCGAAGTACACTACAACGTACTGTACCTTCGTACGTACGTTCTACGTTGTACAGCTGTACACGTAGGCTAGTGAGCTGGCTAGCTAGGGCTACTTCCGGAAGTATTTCCGGAAGTACGAAAGTACATTGCTACATAGTACGGAAGTACATAGACTAGCTAGCTAGCTAGCTAGCTAGCTACACAGTACACAGCTACACACGAAGGTAGTCGCCCTACGGAGCTACCTTCGTACTTTGAAAGTAGTTGTACTTTCAAAGTACAACGTACGGACGTACGGAAGTACTTTCGTACTTTCGTACTTCCGGAAGTAATAATTCCGCACGAAGATAGATACTGTACACCTAGTTGTACACGTACACGTACACAACTACACATACAGTTACGTGTACAGCGCTCCGCAAGTTCCTTAACGATCTCGCCGATCACGGTGCGAGAGGTACTGTCCCCGCCGGCGACGCCGCCTCCGAGGCCGCGACCGAGGCCACGCTCTCCGCCATCGCGAGGAGCAAAAGCTATTGGAAACGACGCATCATGGGCCACATCTCCGTCGCGCTCGTATCCGCCATCGGGGACCGCATCGCTGGCGCGCCCATCTCGTACGCGCTCAGAACCGCACGTGACTCTGAAAACTTCCACGCGGGCGCGGCAGCGCAAATCCTTTTTATGGAGCCCGACACTGCTGGCGATTTCCACATCGCCCCGGCTCCGTGCGCTCGTGAGGCTCACATGGGTTTCATGAATCCCGTCGTGGGGTTGCTTACTACGTGAGAGGATTGTTCGTAGTGTGGTCTGCTCGCATTTAGATCACATGTTTTGCCCGGATGGGATAGAGCTCAGTCTTTTTGAAATCAGATACACACACAGCTGTACGTGTACACGTGTACACGTTCGTGTACGTGTACGTGTACGTGTACGTGTACAGTACGTGTACAGTACGTGTACAGTTACGATTCGAGTCAGTCGAAGTAGTACGTAGTACGCGTAGTACTACCAAATCCGGAACTCAGACACTTGGTCTGCCTCGCATTGAGAGATCGCGAGGTGACAGGGGTCAACGTGTCAAGTTCAAGATATACAATCACAGAATACGCGAATGTGCCGAAAGGTACAAGTGGAGTCTGGGATAGGCCTGGGGCGAACTGGATCCAAGTAAGCGCACGGTAATGCCGGATCTGGTAAGCCACAGAGCAGGGAGTAACGAAGTGACGATACTGTGACAAGACAGTTTCGGACACAGTCTGAGTGAGAACAGTAGAAGCAGCCGTGCCCGATCGGGAGTGTATCACCGATGCAGGACACGAGCTGTGGCGGAAGGGGAGTGTATCAACCTTCGCGCCGTGCTTTTGTTCAATCAATATTCAACTCACAAACACTCTACAGTCTGAGTAAGAGTGAAGTGAAACAGGTGCTAAAAAGAGAAAAACGCTCCATAGGCGTTATCGACTGATTAGGATGTAAGTAGCCGCAGTACGTCATAGCTGATAAGGTAGTAGTTGTAGTACATGGAGTACGTATGATACGAGATCATAAACATGTACGAAAGTACGAAGGTATGAAAGTACGTGTAGTTGTACCTTCGAGTGTACGAAAGTACTTTCGTACCTTCGAAGGTACAGTACACGTACAGTACGTGTACGTGTACACGTACAGCACAAGATACGAGTAAAAATAAAACAGGAAAACGTCAGTGTCACGTCCACAAACCCCACAATTGACGCACACAACGCATGTCAGACGCATCCGCCGGAGCGCAGGCGAGGCGAGAGAGCTACCTTGCGTCGCTGTTGATATCCGAAGCGCGCGACCGCGTGGACGCGGCTAAACATCGCAGCGTGAACGCGCTGAACGAACCCTCGAATAAGGATGGTTTGCGCGTCCGCCCGAACGAGCGATACCTCGCGAACACGCTGAGACAAGTGAACTCGACGAACGCGCGCGCAGATTCGGGATCTAGTGCGCGTGAAGTAAACGAAGACAATCAGAAGGGGGGGGCAAGAAAGAAAAGACAGCGGAGACGAGGGAGAGAGCGTGAAGAGAAGACGCGAACACGACGAAGGAAGCGCCGCGTTCGGGTTGGCGACAACAACAGAACCGACTCCGCTACATCTTCGCCCTCGAGCGAAGAAGCGTGGCGTCTGCGGGGAAAGGAAAGTAACACGGAAATAGTGCGAGCGTCCGCAGTTGACGAAGATGACGCGCGGCTTGTCGCGTTCCTTGCGAAGCCCGGACGCGAACGCCGCGGCCGCGGTGCGGTTGGTCCACGATCAGTTGAACCTGGCCCATACCGCGGTTGCGGCGACGCGGAGGAAGATGGACGCGTGCGCAATGCACCTGCCACACAGCCTCTGAACCCTGGGCGTGCTCCCGCAAGAATTTCCCTCGGTGAACTCCAACGAAAGAAATTGTCGATCCCGTGCGGTGTGCACAACCGGTTCGTAACGAGTACACTGGTGAATACCGTGCAGTCGAATCGGTACGCTGCGTCGAACAACATGTGGCGAGCGCGAGAAAAACAACTCGAGTTGGAGTTGCGCGATGGCGCGGTTAGAGGCGGATGTGCTAGCAAGGACGAACGTAGTGACGAGCGAAGTCCGAAAGACTTTCAAGCCAAAACCGAAGAATTATAGAGCAGAAGACACAACGAGAAACGATCCTCCTTTCGAACAAAATGTTTCTGTCAGGTCGTTCCATATCCCCAAAAGCTTTCTATGCAGTTCGGGGGTCGCCCTTCGGAAAGTGGCGGGAGAGTCCAAAATGGACCCTCCCGCCAGTTTCAAATTAGGGAACGTCGTGACACAAGCGTTTCGTGAAGTTCGGCAAGGTATTGGCCCGTACAAACGAGCGCGATACCAGTGAGCGTGAGACGCGTGAACAAGAGAGTAGAGCGAATGTGACACACTGTGTCCTTGAAAGACGGCGTAACGCACTTTACACGACCGTTTCAGTCGAACGCGCGCGTTGTTCCCTCGCTCAGAACGAAAACTACGCAGCCCTTCCGGGCAAATGTGACGTATTCGGGCACGAGACTTTTTAGTCTGGAAAAAATGCAAATCGTCAACCGAGCTGGTCATGACCAAAAAGTCATACGGAACGACGCGGTACACGACGGCGGGATGTGACGCCGGAAACGACGCGCGATACGCGTGGGTCTTCGACACGTACACTACTGTACAACGTTGTACACAAAATGATAGTCTGCGAATATCACTGAATAAAACGTGCATTTACAACAATACTTTCGTACACGTTATTGTACTGTATGTGTATGTACTGTACAGCTGTACGTATACGAGTCATACACACACATAAACCGCACCACAAATAAACACGAGACACACAAAAAAAAACTTCCGTACTGTACGTGTACGTGTACACGTACGTGTACACGTACACGTACAGTCTTCCGTACACGTGTACAATACTGAACTGTATCTGATATACACGTACAGTACTGTACAAAAAGACTGAGCTCTACACGTAACCCATCCGGGCAAAACATGTGATCTAAATGCGAGCAGTGTACAGTACGTGTACAGTACACGTACGTGTACAGCTGTACACGTACACTACACGTACACCGTTCTTTTCCTGTCGCAACATTTTTTGCGACGAGCGCGTCGCCGTTCACGAGCGCGGGATATCGCGCCGTTTGCTCTCGACGCGCTCGCGTCGTCTGCACCGCCCTCGAACGCGGTCCAGTCCCTAGCGTCGAGTCGAAGGAATGACGTCCACGGCGACGACGACGCGCTACGTCGGCGCGCTCGATAACGGCACGACGTCGACGCGATTCATCTTGTACAGGATCGAACGCCCCGGCGTCTTGACGCCGGTGTCGTCGCACCAGGTCGAGCACGCGCAGACGTATCCGAAGCCCGGGTGCGTGCGCCATTCGCATCGCGCGGATCACGCCGACTCCTAAATCTCGGCTCCAGCCTAATCGAATCGATCCTCGCGCCCGCGCGCGCGATCCGCTTCTCTTCCGTTCCGTTCGCGACCGCCCGTCCGAGCGCGCGTCAGTCACCTCCCGCGTCGCTCTGCATCGGCCACTGCGCTCACCCCCCACGCCACCGCGACCTCCACCTCCTTTCTCTTCAGATGGTGCGAACACGATCCCGAGGAGATATTCGCGAATGCGCTGACGTGCATGGAACGCGCGTGCGCGCGAGGGGACGCCCCCGGTGGCGGCGTCGACGCGACCGCGATCGAGTGCATCGGGATCGCGAACCAACGGGAGACCGTCGTCGCGTGGGACGCGCGCACGCGGGAGTGCCTGCACAACGCGATCGTCTGGCTAGACACGCGCACGCGAGACATCTGCGACGAGTTGACTCGCGAGGCGAGGGAAGACGGCGAGGACACGGGGGCGGATCGGTTCCGCGAATCGTGCGGGCTCCCCATCAACACGTACTTCAGCGCCGGGAAGATGCGTTGGTGCGCGCGCACGCGAGACAGTCGTCGTTTCAACAGATGCCGTAGCGCGCATGCCGCTTGAATAAGCCGATCGTCTGACCGATCCTCTGACCGATCGACTGACTGACCGATTCATTCGAACCCCGCCGCGCGAATGTCGCAGGTTGCTTGAAAACTCCGCCCGCGTTCGTGAGGCGAACAAAAACGGAACGTTGAAGTTTGGAACGATCGACTCGTGGCTCGTTCACCGCCTCACGAACGGGGCGAGGCACGTCACGGACGTGACGAACGCATCACGGACGATGCTCATGGACTTGAGAACGACGCGTTGGCGAAAAGACACGTGCGACGCGTTTCAAGTGAACGTGGAATCGCTGCCAGAGATTCTATCCTCTGCAGACGACTTTGGCACGATTGCGCTCGGGTATTTGCGCGGCGTGAAATTAACCGCCGCTCTCGGGGATCAGCACGCGGCGACGCTGGGGCAGCGCTGCCGCCCTGGCGAGGCGAAGTGCACGTACGGCACTGGATGTTTCATGTTTTTGAACACTGGCTGTCACGTCGTGACGTCCGAGCATGGATTGCTCACAACAGTGGCGTGGCGACTCAAGCCAGGTTCAAATCCAAAACGCGCACACGGCGACAGCGACAGCTCGGAGGATGCGCCACGGTACGCGCCCAATTGTTTGTACGCTCTGGAAGGGTCCGTCGCGATTGCGGGCGCGGGCGTGCAGTGGCTGCGGGACAACCTCGGGATAATTCGAAGCACCTCGGACGTGGAGCCACTCGCGGGGAGCGTCGACGACGCCGCCGGCGTGGTCTTCGTCCCGGCATTCACAGGGTTATTCGCGCCGCGTTGGAAGCAAGATGCGAGAGGGGTGATCGTGGGTTTAACGCAGCACTCCACTGCGGCGCACATCGCGAGGGCGCTGCTTGACGCGATTTGTTTTCAGGTAAAAGACGTGTTGGACGCGATGATCGCGGACGTTTGCAGACGCCCTGGCGAAAGCGGCTACGTGGAAAACTCGGATCAACTAAAGTCTACTGCGTCGTTCTCGGTGCCGAATGTTCTGCGCGTGGACGGCGGCGCGACCGCGAACGCGTTGCTGATGCAGACTCAGGCAGATGTCTTGGGGATGGAAATTTCACGGCCGAGAGACGTGGAGACAACAGCGCTCGGGGCCGCGCTCGCCGCCGGGATAGGAGCTGGGCTGTGGAGCGAGGAAGATGTTTTTGCGCGGGAGGGGGATTTTGAACGCGTCGGCGACGGTGACGGCGGCGCCGATGAGACCGCGACGACGACGTTCGAGCCGAGAACAACTGCAGAAGAAAGAGCAAAGCGGTTCGCGCTTTGGTGCGAAGCCGTTGGCAAGAGTTTCGGCCTCGCGAGAGAGTGAGGGTCGGTAGAAAAAACGCGCGCCTCCGCGACGCGTTAATGTGAGGAAAGTGCGCGTGGGTAACAACTCGACCTTATCCGGGTTACATTCCTCAAATGGTCTCAGACACACAGTGCAGTGTTCGCGCCTGACGCCATCTCTTGGACGACGAGAAGCGAGCGTCGCTCGACTTGCCGCCGGCGTCCGCGCGCGTATCTCTACCGAACTCGTCCTCACCCTCGTCGGCGTTCGCCCTCGAGCCAATCCGGCGAGCCGCGCGACATGACCATCGCGGCCGGGTTTCATGGTGCGTCGTCATTGCATGCGGCGTCTTTCGACGCCTCCTCGGCTTCCTTCACGTTCCTCTCCACTGTTGTTGTGTTTTTTTGTCCTTTTTTTGTCCTTGGTTAAGTTGGTGTCTCCAAGCTGTCCGCTCACCGATTGAGCTGTTTTTATGCTTTATCATCATTGCGATGCGAGCCCTCTCTGTGTAATCTCTGATTTCATTTTCGTATGGACGCAGCATGGGTTCGAACGGTTGCGAAGAGGGGGGGCTTGTGAGAGACGCGACGTTTTTATCGGCTGGACACGTTCTCGCACGCACATACGTGCACCGAAACGAGCACGGGCTACACGTACACGTACACGTACCGAAAGTAGTCTACGGAAGTACGAAAGTACGATTTGTACTTTCGTACGAGTACTTTCGTACTTTAAAGTATCATACTGTACGTGTAATTTCGTACATACTAGTTGTACGAAAGTACATTTTTTATTTCCGGAAATAGAATAAGTTGTTTACTTCCGTACAAAAATCGTACGAAAGTACAACGTTGTACTTTCGTACCTTCGAAGGTACGAAAGTACTTCCGTATTACTTTCGTACGAAAGTACTTGCGAAAGTATTTTCGAAAGTACAAATGTACGAAAGTACGAAAGTACCTTCGAAGGTACGAAGGTACTTCCGTACGTGTACAGTACACGTAGGGCTACAGTACTTCCGGAAGTAAAAGTTGTTTATTCAACTAAGCCCTTGTACTAAGTTGTCCGGGAGAAGAATAAATAGATACCTTCGTAATACCTTCGTACTGTAGAGCTACGTGTACAGTGTACACATCTACACACTGTAGAGTGTACAGTACAACGTAGTACGAAAGTACTTTCGAAAGTACGAAAGTACTTTCGTACTTTCGTACGAAAGTACTTCCACTTCCGTACATAAAACGTGTACTGTACGTGTAGTGTACTGTACAGTACAACTTCCGAAGATTCTGTACCTTCGGTACACTAGCTAGCTAGCTATCTAGTACTTTCGTAAACTACAACGTTGTACTGCGAAGACCCAAATCAATCCGTAGCAGACCAAGCATTCGCAGATTTTACGACCCTCGGGGGAACTGGTGGTGATGTGAAACATACTCTTTCTATTGACGAAATGCCGTCGCACTCTCACGATAGTTTTAACACTACTTTCGTTGGTATAACTGGCGGAAATAGCTATTGGTATATTGACAACAATAATCAAATCGTTCAAACTGGTTCTACTGGCGGAGGTCAGCCCCACAGTATTATGAACCCATATCAGGTGGTTCTGTACTATCGTAGAACAGCTTAATCACGAAGTCTCGCCGCCCCGTACATATGCTCGTGCGCTGCCGCAACTCGCCTACGACGACACACTTCGCACGTTCCCAAATAGTAATCATCAGTCAGTCTCTTTTTTAACTTCAACTTCGGGCAATATAGGTCGTATTTAAATATCGAAATCTACCTTGTATGTTATCTTTGTCAGTCCTTTGTCATACTTCCGGAAGTACTTCCGTACTTCCGTAGGGATATTTTATGTGTACAAGCAGCAGGCAGGGACCGATATTAATAAATGACAGTAGCCCTTTGACTACGAAGGCACTTCCGTACGGAAATACGACGGTATAGACGAGGCGGCGCATGACGCCCAGTCAGCCTCGTACTCTTCTCGTATTCGGCCAAATTAATTTGCGACTTTTTTAATTCCCAATTCGTATGAGCGCAGTCAGACGCGCACCATCACGTCCGCGCTTTTCCATGCGCCGTCGTGGCGCGGAAGGATCTGCAACTTTGCATAGCAGCCATTTGCGATTTTAGACAACAGATCCATGCGTTTGCGTGGTAGACTAAAGACGGGAAGACCGTTTTCGGACCCCTCGGGACCTTTTTCTTAAAAAAATGAATAAAAGCCCTGAACAGAAAATGTCCCTATGAAATTGCTCCGCTCCTCTGCGAAAGCACGCGCGCAGTCCTCACATAGTCTACAGTTCACGACTCGTCTCAAGAGTGGCATGCTTGCGTGGCAGGGCGCGACAAAGAACAATTTCCATCGCGGTTGCGGCGCGTCCCTTGCTTCCAGATGGGCGGCGAAGAAGCGCGCGCTCTGCGACGCGGAGGAGACCGCGAGAGAAGAAGGGTTTCAGAGCGAGGACGAGAGCTCGCGCGTGCGAGAAGCGGGAAATAAGCGCACGCGGCATTTCGCAAAGCCCCTCGACACGTCGCTGGACGTCTTGGACATCGTCCTTCTCCGCCACGAGGCCACTGAAGCGCTGGAAGCAACGATTGCGACGGCCGCGACGAACACGACGAACGAGGCGAACACGGCCGGCGAAGAGGCGTGCTCTAAGAAAAACGTCGACTGCGCTGCGCTCGCGTTAACGCCGTACATGCGTCCATCGCGCCCATCGTCCGGGCCTTTCATTGCTACGATTCCGTCGGTGTGCATCATCTCCCCTGCCGCCGCCGAGTCGTCTCTCGACCTCTGCGGCGACCTGAGTCTCACGGCGCGAGCGCGCGGTGCGGAGGAGGAGGCCACGGCGGAGGAAGAGGCCAAGGCGCGCCAGTCCGCGGTGGCGACCGCCGCCACGCAAGCCGCGCTCCACAACCCGCGGCGGCTCCTTTTCGCGTCGGATGACGGCGACGACAAGCGCGAAGACGAGACCGAGGAGGTGACCAGCCGCGGAGGCGACTTCGACCTCGACCTCGTGCGGACACAGCTGTGCGCCTGCAGTTCTCCTCTCCGCGCGCTCGCGGACGTGATGTGCTCTCCGCGGACGGGCGCGCGGATGTTTCTGTTCTCAGACGCGTGGATGGTCGAGGAAGAGGAAGAGGAGCAATTCTGAGCCCTCGCGCGCGGGAAGGAGAATGACGAACGAGACGATCGCGGCGAACATGACTCACGCGTCCTGTGGACGTCGACAACCTGGACCGCGTCTTGGTTGCTCACATTGTACACACTACGGAAAATTAAATACGCATGAACGAGCGCGCATATGGCTCACAGGATCTCGACTCTGCGAGCGCTTCTCCCGCCCGACCCCCCCCCTCCGCCCGCGCGTAGGTTCTCCTCCCTCGCCACCGCATGCCACTCTAAAATCTGCTCTATCTGATTCGCCTCTCTCTCTTCGCTCCTCTGTTTGAACACCTGCACGACCCTCGCGAGCAGCATCACGGCGAGAAACAGTCCGAACACTCTCAGCGTGAACACGGGAGAGTCGTAATCGCTCCCCCCGAACACAGCGATGACGACGTACAGCACGACGAAGGCTATCGCGACGAAGATGAACATTCTCATCCAAAACGCGAACCTCTCCGCGGCAGCGTCTCTCTCTCTCTCTCTCTCTCTCGACCCAGGGTCGTCGTGATCGACTCTGTTCGAGAGCTCGTGATGAAGCGCTCGTATCTGCGACAGCGTCGCCGGGTGGATCCCCGTATCTCGCGCGTCTGGGATGCCCGGCACCCCTCTCGCGCGCGCGTTGAGTTCCGCGACGTTCCGCGAGGTGATTGTGCGCGCGCGGCCGTTTGCGTCGATAACGACGACCTGCACGCTGCCCTCGCTCGCGTCATTGCGTCGTAAGGACGCCTCCGCTTCGAGCATAGTGTTTAGGTTTATCATCGCGAAATCGAGCGTCGTGGAGGGCAGACGTCCGTACGCCGCGTGGAAGTTCAACGCCTGCGCGTGCAGACGATCCGTCGCCGCTCGCCGCTCGTCCTCCTCCCTCGCGCGTTCCCTCCGCGCGCTTCGTCCCGCGTTCGCGAAGTATCCCGGGAACGATCGCATGCATAGCTCGCACGATGTTACCCCGGTCTCGGTGCACCACCGCGCGAGGCACGCGACGTGGACGTACGACATCGACCCTTTGCACTTGCACGGGGAGCAGAACGGGGGATCGTCCATGAGACATATCCGACACTCCGCTCCTTCTGGGGCGTCGGGAACGACGGCGACCGCGGCGGGCATCGCGTCGTCGTCGCGGTCGTTTTCTCCTGCGGCGTCATCCTCGAGCTCGCGCGTGGCGACATCCGGATCGTTCCGCGCGTCGCTTCGGCGAGTCGACGAGGCGCGATTCCGTTCCTCGGCGGGCGGGGCGTCGCTCCCTCGCGCGCGCGCGGGCGCGGGCGCGTTCGCGGGCGTCGCGTCCGCGACGGGGGGATCGCGGGCGTCCACGGTCCCGGGGGGTGACGCGGGTTCGCGCGCTTGATCCATCGCGCTTGCGACGACCCCCGACGTCGACGGTGCGCGACAGGGAAGTGTGTAGCTTGTACAGCAACAAGCAACACGAAGCCCGCCCGCAGACCTTCCGTCATGTCACATTTTAATACCTGTATGCGACTGCGATAGGTAATAATTTGATAGACATCGTCTATCCTATTGGGTTTATTATTACTACTTATACTAATACAAACCCCTCTACACAACTGGCGAATACCACCTGGGTTCGATTTGGCGAAGGAAAGTGCGTCGTTGGGGTTAGTGATACTGATGCGGACTTCGCAGCTGGGGCTACGGGTGGTTCGAAGCAACACACTCTTTTGGAAAACGAGATGCCCTCACACTCGCATACATTCGCTGATTCTTATAGAAATACGACTTTTCCTGGTGCGGATTTTAGTTATGGTCCAAATTGGGCTGCTGTCCCCACAAATGTGATAGACCAAGCCGATACTACTAACTCTGCTGGTGGTTCGCAACCTTTTAACATTATGAACCCATACATTTCGTGTTATATGTGGCGACGCACAGCTTAATTTCTATCTATAAAGTAGTAATGAGTTTCGTTCAGGCACTTAGTTCAGCAAGAAGAAATCAGGTTATTTCAGCTATGAAAACTACCTCTTCGGGGGCTATTGAAATGACTGGTGATATACAGATTACGGGTGCTTTAGAGGCTCAAAGTATAGGAACAACACTACTAAATACCATATTCCCAATAGGCAGTATTTACTTTACGGCGTCTGCGGTAAATCCAAGCACTTCCAACGGGGGAACTTGGCAACGCTACGCGCAAGGGAAATGCCTTTTTTCGGTAGATGATACTGATACTGATTTTAGTTTTGAGACTACTGGAGGTGTAAAAGAGGTAGTTTTAACGGAAGCTCAGATGCCCTCCCATTCGCACACTTTAGATGACTTTGTAAGAGCAGTCCAAACTAATGGAGCAATTTACCATAACGACTTTCAAAAAGTCCCTAAACCAATAGGCATTACAACTCTCGCAAATACTACCGACACCGCGGGTGGATTGAACGGCACAACACAGCCTTTTAATAATATGCCCCCATACATAGCAATCTACTGCTGGAAAAGAACTTCTTAGTCTATGGATGTCTCGGGAGATCGCATTTATTTTTCGTGTGCAGAGAGCTTCCGGAGAAATGTCCCGACGACTGGTACCGACCGACCGCTGGTTATTTAAAGCACAAAATCTTAACTGATTTCCATGAAACTTCGCACACAGACCGACAATGGCCGTGCGCGCCAACCCTAAACTTTTCGCGCCCCAAAAACCCTAAAGGCTTTTGCGCGACGGGAACATGAGACCTTTGAGAAACCCGCCTGACGAGACCTTCTCACCTTCTCCTGAGATTTTAATTTAGCGATGACCGCGCAGCGGTCATCGTCGTACCTCCGCTTTTTTTGTGTAAAATTAGGTTCAAATTGTGTATATTATTAAGGGTGAGTGAAACGAACCTTGACCGACGCAGTCGGTCAAGCTTAATAGTATCACACTATTTCACCTAATTTTACACAAAAAAAGCGGAGGTACGTGTACTACAACGCGTTAGTTAACGCGTTGTACACGTACTGATCCATTATTATCAGCGCCTCTGGCGCTTCGGCCGTCGGTAGTCGGGGAGTTTGAACCGAGATTGGCGAGTTCGGTCGACGATTTCGACCGACCGCGTGTACTCGCGCGTACTCGCGCGTACTCGCGCGCGCGCTGCCGACAGAGTTAAGGGTGAAATGAACCCGAAGGGTTCAACCCTTTAGGCTCCGTCAATTCACGTTAATTCGCGGCTTAAGGGCGTACGAGTAGTACAGTATCATACCTTCGTATGTTGTACGAAAGTACGAAAGTACCTTCGAAGGTACTTTCGTACTTTCGTACGAAAGTACTTTCGTACGAGACTTGTACGAGTACACGTACAGTACGTGTACACGTACAACGCGTTACAGTAAAGTATTGTTTTCCCCGCATGGATAGCTCAGTCTTTTTGTACACACGTAAAATCAGATATACACAGTACAACTTGTACCTTCGTACTGTACATCTACTGTCTGTACCATATGTGTACAGTATTATTACCTTCGAAGGATTGTACCAGTACGTGTACACGTAGTGTACCTGTACCGAGTGCGCTTCAAAATCTCGTTTCGTGCACCACTGCTAGGTCCGGACTGGCACCACATTTCCGGCCCTTTCGATGTGCACTTAAGAGACGGTAAATCTCGCGGTGAACGTTTTCCTTTCAAAATTTTCGATCGGTCGATCTGGGCTCAAATTCACA